CCCGTCACCGTGTCAGGGGCTCCGAGAAGGAAGGGCTTATTCTGGGGTGTCAGGGTTCAACAAGATCCACAGTCCAGCGCCACGAATGTGCAGTAGTGTTGTGGCTGGTCCCCTTGTTTCCCAGTTAGCAGTGAGGAGGAGGTGGACGCTGGCGCTCCCCTTGTCTCCATTCCGCACGTTCAGCCCAGTCAAAGCTGTCTGGAGATGCTGGGTAGCTCAGGCTAGGCCCGAAGCCGCGTTTCAGGGGTCCCTGAGTCCAGTCGAGGTGACATGGAACGCTTTGTTACCCTGTGACTCGGCTCACCAGCTCCTTGTTCTCAGCAGGGACAGCGAGCACTAACCGAGGTCTGGCGCCCCTTCAGGGCACCCCGACTTTCAAGGCCGAGGCCGGATATCCGACCCGGGGAGAATGGCAGCAGTTGGCCGCGGCCCCCCCAGAACGGAGAGAGCACGGAGGACTATGGGAGCACGGCCGTGCCGGGTGAGTGAGGCTCCTCTCTGACGACCTGTGGTCCACATGGCTCAGGTGAGCCAGGGTCTCCTCCCTGATGTTGTAATGAAGCATCCTTCCCAGAGTGCCCCAGTTCCTGTCCTCCTTCCCAGAAAGCCCTAGTTCCCACCCCTCCACCCCCGCCTCCCTCTCCCCAAGTGTCCAGGGGAACAGGTCTTACAGATTGAACACATGACCCCACCGAGCTCTCGGGTCCTAATAATGATATTGGAGTCCCAGGCTGGGCCCCTTCTCTCTCTGCTCACATTCTCCCATTTCAGGCCTGGAGAACCAAGCTGCCTGGAACCCCATCCTGATCCCAAAGCAGGAGAAGGACTGCAAGGAGGAGGCCAAGCCTGCGCAGGCCTGGGTACAAGGCACGCCCCCAGGGACGGACCTCGACAGGGAAGAGAAACTACCTAAAGATGCTGTCCTGCCACCGCCACACCCCCAGGGTTCTCCAGGAGAGCCAAGGCGCATGGCCACCTTGCATGTCCCCTGTGGGGTCGACAAGGAAGAGCTTTGGAGAAGTAGAGAGCCAGGGCGCACAGCCATCTCACAGGTCCCTTGTGGGGCCAAAAAGGAGGGGCTTTGGAGAAGTGACAACTTTGAGGAGGTTGCCACCGCTTTTGCCCTTGCTCAGGATCAACTTCGCCACTTTTGTGAAGTAGTCCCCACTGGAGAACGAATTTGCTGTGGGGAGTGGAGCCCGGCTCATCTCCTGTGTCTGCTACTTGAGTCTTAAAAGGACTGGTGAGCCATGCTAATCTCCCTTCCCTTACTTCTTACCTCCACTTCCTCCTTCATCCCTTCCTCTCTATCCTTTCCTTTCCAGCTCCTGACTCTTAATTCATGTAGGAAGCGTTTCCTCCTGACTGCCTTGGAGCAGTTGACTGTATGTGTTCGCTGAGAGGTTATAGGTGGACTGGACCTTACTGTGGTCATAGATGTAGTCCCTGAACGTGAGCTGTACGTCAGCTCCTCAGGCCACTGTGGTGCACAGGCCTGTTTGAGACCAGTGTGGGGTTCACAGCAAGTCGGAGGCCAGCCTGAACTCTGTGTAGGAAGCTCTTCCCTGACAGAGAGCAAGCTAGCCTTCAGCAGGAGCAGCTGTGCACTATAGGGAGCCCATGAAAAAAGACAAAAGACAGTCTTACAACATTAAAAGTGATGGTGCGTACACGACTTAACTCTGTAAATGTAGCTAACGTTGCCTATGGATTTAAGAATTGAAATGGTTTTTATGAAGGTATAGAGCAGTTTATTTGGAGGGGGTTTATGGGGTGGCTTGGAAAATGCTGCTGGTTTTTTTTTTTCTGTGAGAACAGTGTGAGCTGGTTTTTTTCCTTCCTCAAATGGGTGAGCAAGCGCATTAAGAAGCTGATTTGCTCCACAGTCCTCAGCTTGGGCTGGCACCCCAACATTCTGATGGCTTCAGGGTCATGTGATTTCAAATGCAGGTGAGAATAAATGAGCACTGCCTGTTGCTCAGCACTGACAGGTACCCATTGGGCTTCTTTATTTGCAAAGTACAGTACCCTGCGAGTAGCTTGATGATGAAGGGGACTTCCTGGTCTAGAAAAGGAGCTGGGGCTGGGATGTGGCTCAGCAGGTAGAAAACTTGCTGAGCTGGTTACCGTCCCCCAGCACTGCAGAAGCCCGGCAGGTGCTGCATGCCTGTAAACCCTGCACTGCATGTGGAGCTAAGATTAGAGGCTCAGTTACAGACTGAGATTGAGGGCAGGCAGACTACATGAGACCCCGTGTCAAGAAAGAGAAAAAAATAAGTGAACTGGTACACAGTGATGAACAGAGCAAGTAGCAGAATATATGACGGACTCAGCCATGGGGTTAGCAGGTCACTGGGCACAGCAGCCTGACCGGCACAGTGAGGAGTCTTAGGCAGAGTCAGTAGTCTTGAGTGCAGGCGAGCTCATGCTATGACCATCCATCCATCTCTCTCTCAGCCTGTCCGTCTCAGTTTTTAAGTCAATTGATTTTATTTATCTCTGTGCATGTGGGTATGGACGCCTGGCAAAGGCCAAGAGCTAGAGGTGGTTGTGAGCCACCTGATACAGGTGCTAGGAGCCCAACCCAGTCCTCTGGAAGAGCAGCAAGTGTGTTAACCACTGAGCCATCTCTTCGGTTCAGTTCTCTGTGTTTTGTTGTGACAAGGAGTTGGAAGCATGAAGCCCAGGTTTGTCTGGCGCTCACCATCCTCCCTCAGCTTCTTGTCCTGGAATTACCAGTCTGCACCTTCATGCCCACCAGCCTCTCTTGGACTGTTTCAGGTCCCATTTTGTGTCCCAGGCCACAGACTGCAGAGAACAGTGAACCTGACTTTAGCCACGTGTCCTTGAGGGTGTACAGACAGAACACTCCCTCTGTCTTTACCGGAGGCTAGAGGAGACTTGCCACCCTGCTAGAGCTTTAAGAATCATGCCATGGGTTGCTTTTTAAAACCTGTCCTTCAACAGGGCCCTTTCCCCTTTAGCAAAAGGAAAAGCAAAGAATTCATCACCATTTTGTGTTGACTCTTTGGGGCAGAGTTGACCCACTTTCAGTACCTATTTCAGGGTTTCCCAACCTCTGGGGAATGTGACCCCAACATGGGTAAGATGACCCTTTCACAAGCACCACCCAAGACCACCAGAACACACTTACATTACACTTTACATCAGCAGCAAACTTGCACAAAGCAACAATCGGAATAATTTTCCGGGGCAGGGCACCACAGCTCAAGGAAGGTTGGGACCTCCTGGCCCATGTGAAAATTTTCCAGAAAACCAGCCCTGTCGTTTATACTCAGGCCTAATTACAAAATTAATAAGGGGAAAAATATATATATATATATACACACATATAATATATATATGTATATATATATGTATATATATATATATACACATATAATAACGATGTAATGTATATACAAAAATGAACCAAAATTGGGAATTAGTGCTTAATGTAACTTCTAATTCTGTAACTTCTAATTCTAATATTTCTGTTTAGAAATAATCTGCATTGAAAATGGAAAAATGACAATCATATCATAAAGTTAATAGTCCTCTTTTCATGATATGATAATCTCGAAAGTTTTAATTACTATTGCAATTCAACCAAAGAAGACCAAATACATTTTCTTTTAAGAAAATCAATCATTTTAGTTTCCTTTATCCTCAAAAGTCAAATTGAAATTCACTTGTTTTACAAATACATTGATGGAAAATGATCAGTATCTTTTTTTATTTCAAATGAGTTGATTACTATCTTTCAAAGTAAGATGAGGATTTCCAACTGTGGAATAAAGGGGAGCGAGGAGTAATGGCAAGAAAGATGGACAGATTGGAGAGACAGCTGGGCCCTTCACTTATTTTAGGCCTGCATTGGTTAGACACAAAGTCACCATTCTCTAACGTAGCAGCTTAGAGAAAAATGTTAAGGGTTAAGAGTTTTCTCTCTTTGTTGAGTGAAAAATGTATGCATTTGGTTGTCTCTATAATGTATAGAATAACTCTCCTGCACCTTTCATTTTTCTCACAATTTATGAAATAGATCATCAGGAAAATTACTCAATGATGACTGGAAAATTTGCCCTCCAAACTGAGTAGATTGTTTTATTGATGTCTATCCTAAAATCCATTTAAAAAAATTATGAGAATACCCCTTAAAATATGTACTTGATGAGGTCAGGACTAATTTTATTCCTTTCAGAATAATATGGCCCCTGGAGATTATCTGTGATGTGGTCCCAGAAAACGCAAATATATATAAGGCTTCAATCAAAGCAGTCCTTATCATCTCCAGGATCATCAGGCAGGACATACTGGTACCAGCAGTTCCCCTGAGGAGTATAGGATAGTCTCTTCTTCTCTTCACACTAATTTGGAAGTTATGAGCTCAGAGGCTTAAATATAGGGTCCCCTTTGAACAACCAATATAATCAGTGATTTTACCTTTCATATTTTAAATAGTTTTTTGAGAAAAATTTTACAGTGTAGTCCACAAACTTTGAATACTCATGAGTCAGCTTCTACCACAACTCTCTCCTTTTCACTATTGTGGCTATTCTTTCCTTAATTCAAATAGCAGAATCACACTTTAAATAATTAATTTTTTAAAATATGACTAAAATATTTGTGATAACAAAGTGAAAATATGTACAGAAGAAAGCCCACTAAGCTTCAACCCTACTTCAAAAAGTCTGTGCCAATGTGAAATTTTGAGAGTAAGAGAAATACCCCTACCATAGGAAGAGCAGACCAACTGGCTATCTAATATCAAATGGACAATCCTGAAAACATATATACAATTAACATTATACTGACTACGCTGATTATACTGATGTAGGTAGGAATATACATATATGTACCTTAATATACATATATTTGTGTAACAACAATTAATTAAAAAAGAAGCTATGATTTTAAAAGAGACCAAGTAAGGGAACATGGCAGGATGTGTAATAAGAAATAAAATGGGAAATAATGAAATAATTATAAAGCAAAACATAAATCAAAAACTTTTATTTTTGTACAGTAAAGTCTAATCAAAGTGTAGCCTCTAATTGTATGGCAGGCATGAGGAACATACTCACAGTTTATTAGACACAACCAAAACATCACTGAACAAAGAGAGATGTAGGTTTTTTTTTCTTCTTTTGTCTCTTCTGAGTTTCATGGAGCCTTGGCATAGGAAGGTTCAGTATATTCCATCGGAGGTGAACTCCTCATAGACTTCCAAGTGGGTAAATATGGATTCTCCTGGGACAGGTCTCGACCTAACAGAACAGATATTCAGTAGATAATTATAAGACTGATATCCATACTAAATTTCAAAAGGTGCATAGTTTTAAAACACAGGCTCAATTCACAAATCAGGATTCTGTTGAGCTATAAACATACTTAAAATGTAATAGAAAGGAAGAGGTCACTTAGGAAGAGAAGTATTTGGAATAGATTGGAGAAACAGGCTTTTTTTTCCCCAGAAGTGATCAACTTGAGAGTCATGAGAAGACTCAAGTTGGAAGAAGTGTAGCTGGTAGGATATAGATCAATGGTTAACACTTTAATACTTTTATTCATGTCATAGGATACAATCATAATATTTTAGGTTTAGTATGGTTTATTATTATAAAATTATTTCATTGATGCTTTATGACTGTAATTTTGTAACTGTTATGAATTCTATTGTAAGTCTTTGATAGGAAGATATCAAATATGCCATCTCCAAAAGGTTCAGGACCAGTAAGTTGAGAACCACTTGTTCAGAGTGAGGAAGGGGGTGAATGAAGTAATTGTATTTCAACTAAAATCATTTTTAAAATTTGAGTAATAAAGACTACCCATTATTAATGAAGTTTGCTAATATTATTCATGATTTAAAAATAAAAGCAGGAAGCACACTGCAAAGCATCATATTGGAGAGAAAAAGAAATACTCAAATACTAGAGTGATTCACAAAAAAAGACAGATTGATGCCAAACTGCTGGGAGCCAAAGTTATCTACTGAAGCCAAAGTCAAACAGTGAGCCAAAGCTATTTACTGAAGCCAAAGCCAAGTAGCAAGCAAAGGTCATTTAGTGGAGACCTAAAGCTATTTAGTTGAAGAGTTACCTAGGACCCGAAATCATGGGCGATAGATTGTGAGGATATCCATTTGTTAGTTTTAGAGCATCCGTGAAATAGCTTAAGAAAACATCCTTTAGGTATCTTGCAGGTGCAATATTTAACCCATGAAAGCACTCTTCCTATCTCCTGCAGCAGTAAATTAACCTTCCCCCCTTTTCTGACTTCTCCCTATATAAGTTGGGTAAAAATGTCTAATAAACGGAAGCCTTGATCAGATGAACAGACTTGGCTTTCATTCCTGCATCTCTTGTCCCTTCCCCCCATTCCTTCCAATCTCTACAACTTAGGAACCCCGTTGAAGCCCCGCGGGTCGAGGAACCAAACATTAAATGAAGGCCAAAGTAGGTGACCCCTAAAAATTGGTCACTGGAGTAGCAACATGGATGTCATTGTTCACCCTAATGTAATATGTGTGTAATAAGAGGCAAAATACTTGGTGCAAAACATGGTGAAATGTATATTTATCCCCATTTATTAATTCCTAATGCTTTTAACCTAGCAAAGTTCCACCTGAAAAAGGCAGCATGGAGATGTCATTAACCCTGTGAACTTTAGAGCCTAACAGATGTAAAAATCATAGGTTTTTCAAGGGAATGTGCTTTACTGAGATGGTCAGAAAGCTTCATGCACAAGAATGTCAGCACTGATGTCTATAGAGGAGGATGCTTACTTATTAGTATATAGTAAAGGCTAAAGACACATAGAATTGTAACTGAAACCACCTGGAAGATACTCGGTAAATCTCATGATTAAATATATAGTATACTTTAGACACATTATAATCATGAACAGATCATGTAAAATTAGAATGCTTATTTCTTTAAATGATTGAATTTTGTTGATAGTAAACTGTACCTTCTGTAAACTGTGTAGTTTAATATGTATAATTTTACAGTATTAAATGAGATAGCAAAACTCTACCAAATTGTATAAAGTACTTTATGAAGATTTTCTACTCAATACTTCTTTCAAATGGCTGAAACATTGGAATGAAGTAAAAAATACTGATACAAAACAACATTCTTAAGAATTTGTGATACAGTTCTAAAATGGACATATGGCACTCCATCGACCTGTGATATCAGGATATCAGCACCAATGATGGCCTCCAGGTCAAGTGATGGGGAAGCAAAAGTACTTCTTACACATCTCAGAACCCACACCTGTATTCCTGTCATTCTAAACAAGCCTATCTCCTCCTGCACTCTTCTAACTCCCAAAATATTCTAGTATAACTCTATCTCTTTATGAAGGCAGTTTCTTTACTTGTCTGAGCTATCTCCACTTTCCTGTCCTAATATTCTTTCTTTTCTCCTAGACTCTTTCTTTTCATATTTCTAATCTCTTTCTTTTCATATTTCATAGTCACATGAAATATGTTTTTCTCCCCTCTGGTATGAACTTTTCTAGAATCCTCTGAAAATTTTTCATCTTTTATCCATAATAAAATTCTTTCCTGTAATCATCTAAGATTTGGTGTTTTTTCCTGTTATCCAGATCATATAATTGAATATTTAAAATATATCTGTACTTATGTGACTATTACTCTGATAAAAATAAGGAATGTATACAGAGATCCCATAGCTTTTAGTTAGAAAGCACTTAATGAAATGAATGAAAGTGTCGAAGAAAGACAGCAGCCAATGGTTTTCAATATGGACATAAGTGAAAGGTATGTAATGTAAAGGTATGTTAAAAGTAGTACCAATTTAGTTTTATGATAACAGAATTGAAAGTAAATGAGCATGTTTGGAAAACAGTTGTCTAATCTGAATTTATATCAAAATATTGAGATTTAGGTTCCAAAGAACACAAAATATGTCAGAAACAATAAAAGTCTATTGAAAACCAGAGAGTTTTTGAGATTTTAAGGTTTAAAGCTGACACAAATTTAAAACAAATCCTTGTAGTCGGATGAGTACCAAAATTAGATGGCATAGAGAATAGTCCTCACTCATAACTTGGTCAGATATACAAACACCTTTCTCCTTTATAGCTCAGAGCATACTTCAGGTATTTTTTTTCTTTCTTTTGGGGAGTGGTACTAAATTGTAGTATGAGTAGTTTTTCATGAATCTGGGTTTACATAATCTGAATGAATCAAGACATGTTTCCTGAAACCATTAGTGTATCATGAGATCCATAATAGTCATTTAAAAATACCTTTACAGTGGAGCCCGGAATGGAGAATCTTTCACTGGGCACAAATTAAGCTTTTCTCTCCTAGCACTAAACAAAAACTGCTACAGCAGTTTGTAGACAAACTACTGAAGAGCACACATTCTGTAGTAGTCAGAAGGAGAAACCACTGTGATGTCAACATTCCAAGGCTCAGGCCGTAACTGACAAAGTGACACATGCATTTCACTTCTTTCAAACTGTTGACTTTAAAACAGTGGTTTTGAACAATTCTTGAACAACATGTGTTTGGAATAACATTTTCACAATAATATATGTGTGTAAGTTTATATAAAAGATATATGATATAGAGGATAGATAGATGATTGATGTTAAATAGGATAGATACCTATAAGATGTGTGCAAAAATAGGAGGAATACTTGTATAAATCATGATAGACTAGGGTCAAACAGAGGGGGAGGAGGACCTTCCCTATCAGTGCACTAGGGGTGAGGCATAGGGAGAGAGGAAAGGAGGGTGAGATTGGGAGGAGATGAAGGAGGGGGCCACAGCCGCAATGTAATTTGAATAAATTGTAATAAACGATAATAACAGCAATGTTAAAAAGACAGTAATGTTAAAAAAAATCATGAAATTTATATTCATCTCCAAAGATTAGTAATTCCTAATTTTTTTAACCTGCTAAAGGCCCATGTGAAAAAAGGCTTCATGCAAAATCATTAAGACTGTGAACCTTGGAGTCTAACAAATGCAAAAATCATAGCATACTTTAAAGATGAATGTGCTTTACTGAGATACAGTCAGAAAGCTTCATGCACAGAGAAGTCAGAAAATTTTAAAGATTGGAGAGAAGTGCACATGCTTATTTGCATATAGTAAATTGTATATATTAATCCTAGAGACACAAAGAATTGTGAATGAAACAAGGGAGATACTCTGTAAGCTTCCTAATAAAGAAATTTAGTATATCTTAGACATAAAATAATCACAGACAAATCATTCAAAATTAGGATGCCTATCTTTAAAATGATTGTATTTGGTGATAGTAATAATTTTTGCTTTCTTGAAGTGTGTAATTTCATTAATATGTATAATTATACATTTCTAATTAAGACAGGAAAACTCTACCAAACTATAAATTTCTTCATACAGATATTCTGCTGAATAAATATGATTTTTAAAATGTGATACATATGAGTATGGGAAATAAAAACACATAAGAAGGAAATCTATATAGTGGCATGCGGTAACTAAACCCATTATTTTTAAAATAGTAGTAATAAATACGTGTAAAGAAAGTAACCAGGCTTTCCAAGTAGTATATACTAGTTAGTTTCCAGGGAGTGCAAATATCCAAAAATTCCAGTCCTGGACCTGCTCAACATGCATTATAAAAGGAATTCTGGTGATTAGAAAGAAACATGCAAAAACCAAACAAACATACAAAAAAAGGAAAAAACCGCATTCATCAAGAATTTGTGAAATAGTCCAGGAAATTAGCCATTTTCCTTGCTCCGACAATAGGGACATACGGCTCTCTATTGACCTGTGACTCCTATCAGGATGTCAACACCCATGGTGGCCTCCAGGTTCCTTGAAGGGGATGTAAATGGAATTGTTATACATCTCAAAACACCCATCTAGATTCCTATGCTTTCCCAAACAGCCTCAACTCTTTCTGCACTATCCGATACCCTGAAATTTTTTACACTAATTAATTTATTTATAAATTTCACATCTTCATCCCAGGCCCCATCACTTCTCTCCTCACAGTCCCACCATCATTCTCCCCTTCCACATTCCCTTTTTCTCTTCAGAGAGGCTCAATATGTGTACCAACCCACCCTGACATATCACATCAGGCAGGACTAAGAGCATTCTCTCTCAATTAAGGACAGGGAAGACAGCCCAGCTCGGGGAAAGGGAACTAAGGGCAAGCAACAGAGTGAGATACAGCCCTCAATCCAATTGTTAGAGGTCCCACATGTTGACCAAGATGTAGATCTGCCACATATATGTAGGTGGACCAAGGTCCAGCCTGTGCATTGATGAAAGCACAGTTTGTCTCTTTCTAACCTATCTCCACTTTTCTCCTAATATTCTCCATTCTCTTCTAGACAGTCTTTGTCATATCAAGTCTGCTTTTTTTTTTCTCTCTCCTCTCAACTCTTCCACGTGACTCTGAACATATTTCCTCTCTGATCATAATAAAATTATTCCTTGTAATAGAGTAGCTACTATTTTACTGATTTGTCTACTATTCCTGCTCATACAGTTTGAATATTTAAAGTATATATTTTATTAAGTGAATATTACTATGCCTAAGTCATTATATTTCATTCAAGGAATATGTACTGACAAGCCATAGTTTTAACCTGGGAAGGATTAAAGATCCCTGTGAATTGAACAGTCAAAGAGAGACATCAGCCAATGGTTGTCATCAAATGCATTCGGCAATAATGTAAAGGTATTTTATAAAATATTGCCAATGTAGTTTCATGAGAATATTTAAATTAAATGAGTATGTCTGGAATTCCTATCTAGCAGAATCAGTGTTCACATATTGAGAAATATATGTTTGAAACCAGAAAGTTCTTGGATTTGGGGCTGAAATCTGAGCAGTTTCCAACAAAACTTTGTTGGCATAGTGGGTAAAACAACTAGATGAAACAGAATATAATCTCTCATAACTTTGGCATATAGTTTTGAAGATACATGGATGTCATTCTCTTGCATAACTCAAAGCATACCTCTCTGTCATGATAACTTTGTTTCTTTGGGGGAATGGTACTGACTATTGCTAACAGGAGTAGCTTTTCATGAAACAACTGTTAAGAATTAGATCACAGGTTCTAGAGAAATCAAGACAGAACACTTCCTGAGACCATTAGTCTAGCATGAAAATTATAATGAGCATTTTAAAATACCTTTACAGTGGAGCCTGGAATGGAGAACCTTTCACTGGGCAAAAAAATTATTCTTTTCTTTCCTGGCACTAACCAAAATGGCTACAGCAGTTTGTAGACGAACCACTGAAGTGTAAACATTCTGTAGTAGTCAGGGGGAGAAACCACTATGATGTCAACATTCCACGGCTCAGGCCATAACTGACAAAGTGACACATGCATTTCAAATTTTGACTTTAAGACATTGATTAAGAAAAAATTTGAGCCACATGTGTTTTGAAGAAATGACATATACAAAACTGTGTGTGTATGTGTGTGTAATAGATATATGATATAAACAACAGACAGAGGATAGATGTTAGATAGAAGGATAGATAACTATAATGATATCAGCAACAATAGGAGGAATACTTATATAGGGTCAATTAGGAGGAATACTTGTATAGGGTCAAATAAAAGGGGAGGACAACCTTCCCTAACAGTGGACTAGGGGAGGGGTGCAGGGGGAGAAGAGGGAAAGAGGGTGGGATTGGGAGGAGATGAGGGAGAGGGCCACAGACACAATATAATTTGAATAAATTGAAATAAATAATAATAATATTTAAAAGACAGTAATGTAAAAATATCATAAAATTTATATTCATCTCCAAAGATTATTAATTCCTAATTTTTTAACCTGTTAAAGGCTCAGGTGAAAAAAGGCAGCATGCAAAATCATTAAAACTGTGAACCTTGGCGTCCAACACATGCAAAAATCATAGAATACTTTAAAGATGAATGCATGCACAAAGAAGTCAGAAAGCTTGGAAGAGTGGAGAGGAGTGCACATGCTTATTAGTATACAGTAAATTTTATATATTAATCCTAGAGAAACAAAGAACTGTAACTGAAACATGGGAGATGCTCTGTACATTTATTAATAAAATATGTAGTATACTTTGGACATATAATAATCATGGACAAATCATTCAAAATAAGAACTACCTGTATTTATGGTGATTGTATTTGGTGATAGTAATAATTTTTGACTTCTGCAAAGTGTGTAATTTCATTAATACATGTAATTATACAGTTCTCATTAAGATAGAAAAATTCTACCAGACTGTTAGGTTCTTCCTAAAGATATTCTGCCTAATAATTATGATTTTAAAAATATGACACATGTAAATATGGGAAATAAAAAACACATCAGAAGGAAATCTATATAGTGGCATGTGATAACTAAACCCATTACTTTTTAAAAGGACATAATAGGTGTGAAGAGCGTAATCAGGCTTTCCTAATAGTTTAAACTTGTTAGGTTCCAGGAAGTGCAATTATCCAAAAATGTCAGTCCTGGACCTGCTCAACATGCAGTATCAAAGGAATTCTGGTGATTAGAAACAAACAACAAAAACAAACAAATAAACACACATACCAAAAACAGCATTCATCCAGAATTAGTGAAATAGTCCTTGTCTAGCAAAATAACCATTTTTCTTGCTCTGACAAAAGGAACATACTGCTCTCTACTGACCTGTGGCTCCTATCAGGATATTAACACCCATGATGGCTTCCGGGTTGCCTGAAGGGGGAATAAATGTACTTGTTATACACCTCAAAACACTCATCTAGATTCCTGTGCCTTCCCAAACAGCTTCATCTCTTTCTGTACTATCCTAATTTTCTAAATATTCTAGAAATTACCCTGTCTTTCCACCAATTAATTAATTAATTTCATACCTTCATAACAGGCCCCCATCCCTTCTCTCCCCACAGTCACACCATCAATATTCACTCCCCCATGACCTCATTCTCTTCAGGGATGCTCACTATGTGTACCAACCCACCCTGACATATCACGAGGCAGGACTAAGAGCATCCTCTCTCAATAAGGACAGGCAAGATAGCCCGGCTAGGGGAAAGGGAACTAAGGGCAAGCAACAGAGTCAGTGAAAGCTCTCAGTCCAATTGTTAAGGGACCAAGCTGCACACCCGCTACGTAAGTGAGAGGGGCCCTTGGTCCAGCCTGTGCATTGATGAAAGCATACTTTGTCTCTGTCTAAGCTACCTCTACTTTTCTCCTAATATTCACTATTTTCTTCGAGACAGTCTTGGTCATATCAAGTCTGCTTCTTTTTCTCTCTGATCTGAACTCTTCCACGTACCTCTGAACATTTTCCCTCTCTCATCCATAATAAAATGGATGAGAACTCAAAGAACTATTGTAATAATTGACCAGCTGCTATTTTGCTGGTTTCTCTGCTGTCCCTGCTCATACAGTTTGAATATTTGAAGTATATATTTTATTAAGTGAATATCACTATGTCCAAGACATGTTACTTTGTTTAAGGATCCTGGTCCTAGTGTGGGTGGCTCCTCCTCACAGGCTGCGGAGGCCCTAGATGGATGGGTCTGGGGAAAGCAGAGCTCTGTCAGCCCTGGAGACCTTGGCTTTCTGCCACACTGCTATACTCCCTGGCCTCAGGGCATGGAATCTCCTTCCCCAAGAGCTCACATCACCTCAGGCTACACAGCCTTCCTCCTTTCCTTTCTTCCTTCCCTCTCTCCCTTTCTTCCCTCCTTCCCTCCCTCCATTCCTTCCTTCCCTCACTCCTACCTTCCTTCCATCCTTCCCTCCTCCCTTCATTCCTCCCTTTCCTCCCTCCTTCCTTCCCTCACACTTCTTCCCCTCACTGCCTGGCCCTGGCTGGCCTGGAACTCTGTATACCAGGCTGCCTCCAACTCCACAGAGACCAATCCTCATCTGACTCCTAGAATTAAAGACATGTGTCCCTAAGTCTGGACCTTTATTTCAGGATTTATTTACGTCATTTTGTTTTTTTGAGACAGGGTCTCTCTACGCAGCCCTGGCTGTCCTGGACTTGCTATGTAGACCAGGCTGGCCTTGAACTCACAGAGATGCCCCTGCCTCAGCCTCTCCGAATACTGGGGTTACAGGTGTGCTACACCACCCACCTAATTTATGTATGTATGTACACATGTATGTATGTATGTACGTATGTATGTATGTATTTTTGCACACACCACATGTGTGCCTGGTCTGTGGAAGGTGGAAGAGCATCAGATTCCATGGACTTGGTCGTGAGCTGCCAAGGGGGTGTCGGGAACCAAATCCTGAGGCCTAGGCGAGTGCTCTTAACTGTTGAGCCATCACTCCAGGCCCTATACTACTTTTTGTATTATCACACTTGTTGCATGTGTGTGTGTGTGTGCGTGCGCGTGTTCTATCTTCTCCGCTCATTGCATTATTTATTTGGTGTATGTGGGGGTAAGTTTCTATCATCTAGCTCAGGCTGGCACCAAGCTCAGAGCAATCCCCCTGCTTCAGCCTCCCAAGCCTGGGCATTCCAGGACTGAGCCCACGGCCAACTGTGTAAACTGTGAAGCTGTGTCTGTGCACAGCTGTGTGGGCTGCTGGCTTCAATACGGCACCAAGCTTTCCTGAGGACAAAGGTGGCTCAGAGCCACCACCCACCCACCTGCTGGGGGCTGTGCTCCCCTTGTCTTTGGGACTCTGTGGCTGGCTCTTCTGCCAGGCACTACGGCAGGGCGGCTCAGTGGATAGTGTATGCATGGCCTGGGCTGCACCTCAGCGCTGCCACCGCCACTGGAGAGACAATACCTTGAAATCCTAGATCATCATGGCCCCGTCGATGCCAGTGGTACATAATTTGCGACTGTCCTGCTTGTCCACCTTGTAAATGGACACCTGGCTAAAAGAAGATCGAGACCATGAGGTCGGTGGAAGAGTGAGGCCATTCCCCCAAGCCCCGCACCGACAGATGGCTGGAGGTGCACTAGGCTCCAGATTCCTCAGGGCTACACAACGAGACCCTGTCCTAGAGTGGGAGGGCTCATTCACCCAGGATGTGGCCCAGCGGGTAGGCCCGAGACTACATCAGGCCCTGGCCAGGTCCCCAAAGCCACATACACTGGCTACTGGTGCTTGCGTGGTGCTATCTGAAGGATGTTGGCCAGAAGGCTACAAGTTCAAAGTCAGGGGGGCTGCAGGGATGGCTCAAAGGTTGAGAGTGCTGGCTGCTATTCCAGAGGTCCTGAGTTCGAGTCCCAGCACTCAAACGGTGGCTCACAGCCATCTGGTGTCAGAGAAGAGGGAGAGAGAGAGGGAGAGAGAGGGAAAGAAAGGGAGAGAAAGGGAGAGAGAGGAAGGGAGGGAAAGTGAGAGAAAGAGAAAGGGAGAGAAAAAGGGAGAAAGGAGAGAGGCAGAGAGAGGAAGAGTGGGAGGAAGAGGGAGAGGGGAGGGAGAAGGAATGGGAAGGGGAGAAAGGGGGAAGAAGGGGAAGGGAGAGGGAGCGGGAAAGGGAGAGAGGGGGAATGGAGAAGGGAAAGAGGAGGGAGAGGAATACAGGAGAGAGGAGGAGAGTGAGGGAGGGGGAAGGAGAAGGAGGGAAGGCAGCAGAAGGAGGACAGGGAGGGAGGGAGGAGGAAAGGCCATAGCCTTAGCATGGGGCTGGTAGGGACAGAACAGGGCTCAGCAGATTCGGACACAAAAAGAACCACTTTCTCCTTCCAAGCTCAGAAGTGACTGGAGCATGGCTGAAACCAACCAGTCCCCAACAAGGCCTCTGAGAACAGCCTGCTTGGGCAGCCAGAGCCTTCCTGGCTTTTGAAATCAGCCTTCAGGAGTCCTGGGTTCCATCCCAATCCACAACCCCAAAAGAAACAAACAAATAGGGAGACTCCTTACAGAGCCTTCAACCCAACAGGCCTGCAGAGCTGGGTAGACAGGACACCAGGGTGAACCAACCTGTCTGCAGAGCTTCCAGAGACAGCCTCCTCCTCCTCAGACTCCTTGAAGGGCGGAGGCCACGGCGCAGCCCGTGAGAAGGGCCTTTACACACTCACTATCATTTCAGGTTGTTATTATGCTGTGTGTTTGGTACACAGGTCAGCGGGCGACTGCGAGAATGTTCTCTCCCTTCTGTGCAGGCTCTGGGCAGCACTTGCGCCTTGTTTGACTGGCACAGGCAAGTGGCACCCTGCGAGCAGGCACAAGGTGTTCGGGGAACTGTGTGCGGAGGAGGGTGTGAGGAGCACATCCTGGGACTGGCAGGTGCCACCCCAAGAAGGGGCACACTACAGGAGACTGTGTGCAGGGGAGTGTGTGAGGGGCACACCCTGGAAATGGCACAAGCAGGTGGCACCCAGCTAGGGTGCACACTGTGGGGACGTGTGTCCGGGGGTGTGTGTGTGTGTGTGAGACAAGTCCTGGGCCCAACACAGGAGGCATCCCAGGAGGGGCGCACACTCACCTTGGCCACGATGCTGTTCTCTGAGAAGGACAAACTGAGCAGTGGCAGAAACTCCGCCTTCAGAGTCGACACCCTGCGCAGGGGGTATGTGCGTCACACATGGTTCTCCTCCTATGTGAGGCGCACACTGGGGACCAAACTTGGGCAGTGCCACCTTCACGTGAGGTTCCTACCCTGCAGACCAGGCTGGCCTCGAACTCATGATCCCCCTGCCTCAGCTCCCCAGATGCTGGGATCGTGGGCCTGCACCACCATGCCTGGCTTGTAAGAGTGTATTCACATGGAGGGGTGAAAACTTGACACCAAGGTCTCTGACATGACCTCAGTGGCCGGCTCTTTGACCTCCCCTCCACCCCCCACAAGGGAGGAGCAGTCTTGCCAGGCCACAGAGGACGTTGCAGCCAGTATTGATGAGATCTGATAGACTAGGGTCAGATGGAAGGGGAGAAGAACCTCTCTTAGCAGTGGACTGGAGAAGGAGTAGGGAGGAAATGAGAGAAGGGATGATGGGGAGGGAGGGAGGGATGGATGATATTGGAGGGAGGGAGGATTGGTGGGGAGGGAGAGAAGGATGATGGGGAGGGAGAGAGGGATGGTGGGGAGGAAAGGATAATGGAGAGGGAGGGTTGATGGGGAGGGAGTGAAGGATGATGGGGAGGGAGGGATGATGGGGAGAGGAATGACGGGAGGAAGGGAGGGGGGCTACAGCTGGGCTACAAAGTAAACTATAATTAATATAAAAAATAAAAATTAAATTTAAAAACAAAACAAAAGCTTGACACCAGCAAAGCTGTCGCAGAGCACAGTTCTGCCATGGTGACCCTTTCACAAGACAACTAGTAGAGTCAGCATGGGGAGGACCACATCCCAGCTGTCCACATGCCACTGTGTCCTCACGGGGTGGTCAGGTGGAGGCCATCCCCAGGCACATTCCCAGGCTGCCCATGGGAGGGCAAGTGCCAAGGCGCCCGAGAGCGGGCTCCAGGCTTCTTCCCGTCGCCAAGCTACCTTTCACGGCAGTCTGGTGACAAAGCACCATTTGGGTTCTCCCCACAGACCTGGGGCAAGAAGGCAGGAGGAAGATGGTGCCTCTCCTGTTTGGGGTGGTGTCAAGGGAAGGAGCTGAGAGGGTGTGTGTGTGTGTGTGTGTGTGTGTGTGTGTGTGTGTGTGTGTGCGTGCGCGCGCGCGTGTGTGTGCTGGGCAAGGGCAGCAGCTTCAGCTCTGGTTTTCTGGGACGGAGACTGGACTGACCTTGAACTCTTGAGCCTCCTGCCTCCTGCTTCTGCCTCCTGGGCCACCACACTCTGTCCCATCTCCCTGGGGGCTGGTGGGGACCACAGACGTGAGAAGCCAGTCAGGTGTCTGTGGTGCCATCCTCCCAGCTCCAAGCCATCATCTTCATCAGGGCGGCAGAGACCGAGCCTGCTGGCTACAGGCGCTGCTGATGGGCAGGGGCGGATTACTGACCCCCACTGGGACCCAGCTGCTCTATCCTGGGCTTCTCGGCCAGCTGTATACACTCCCCCTAGCTGCAGTGCTCTAGGCTGTGTCCAGAGTGCATGTGGCCAGCTATATACACTCCCCATATCTGCCGTGGAGAGCCAGCATCCACAGATCACTAATTATACACTCCCCCTAGCTACTGTGGTCTAGGAGAGCCAGCGTGGCCAGCTGGCCAGCTGTATACACCCCCCTAGCTGCTGTCATCTAGGAGAGTCAGCATGTTCAGAGGTCAGGTGGCCAGCTGTATATACTTTTTCTCCTAGCTGCCATGGAGAACCAGCATGTACAGATCACTAGCTGTATACACTCCCCCTAGCTGGCTCTCATCTAGGAGAGCCAGTGTGTACAGATCGCTAACTGTATCCCTCCCCCCACTGCCAGGCAAGGACTCATGCATGCTCTTGGAAGCTTGGCCCCCGACACCATGTTGTCGTGGCTGACCCAGGCCAGGCAGCTCCTGCTGGCTGAGAAGCCGACAACGTGCACCCAGCCGCCAGCGCTGCTGAACTAGGCCATCAGCTGGCCAAATGGCATCTTGCTGCCCCATGGGGTGCTGGCCGGCTTCTCGTCCACCTCCTTGATGCAGGCCAAGAACACTGTTGTGGAAAGCGCGAGGGAGGAGGCAGGAGGCCAGTCAGGATGGGAGGATGCAGGAAAGGACAGCCAGGGATGCGCTTGCTGGACCAGCACGGGGACCTGAATTGGATCCGCAGCATCCACAGGGAACCAGAGATGGCAGCCTGAGCCTGGAACCCAGGCATGAAGCCGGGTGGACACAGGTCCTGGGCTCGCGCGCACGCACACACGCGCACGCGCGCACACACACACACACACACACTGAGATAAATAAAGCTAGAGGTGAAGACACCCAACAAAGGGCTGAGAGAGGCAGTCCTGCCCTGCCAACAAAGGGCTGGCTCCCACCTCGGATCCACTGTCACCTCTGAGGCCTTAGGAGGTTGAAGGACAGGGAAGGACCAGAATCTGCTTCCTCTGGACTCTTCTAATTCTCCAGGAAGCATCTGAACATGGGTATGACCCCTGGAGGCCAAGGCAGGAAAACCAGGAGTCGAGGACTCCAGGAGTCAGAGGAGTTGAAGGAGGAGTCAGAGGAGGAGGAGTCGAGGCGGAGGAAGAGTTGAGGAGATGGTGAGGAGGAGGAGTTGAGGAGGAGGCAAGGAGGAAGATTTGAGAAGGAAGAGGAGGAGGAGGAGGAGGAAGAGGAGTCGAGGAGGAAGGAAGAGGAGCCTGAACCTCAAGACTCTGTAAAACAACTCTGGGCTCCAAGCCTTTAATCCCAGCGCTCGGGGAGGCGGAGGCAGGGGGATCTATGTGGGTTCGAGGCCAGCCTGAGCTAGAGTGACTCAGATAAACCCTGTTTTCAAAACCAAACCAAAACAAACCTCTAGCTCCCTAAGCTCAACTTCCAAATGACAGCGGCAGCTGAGGGTCTGAAGGGTTGGGGCATCAGCTTCTCCTGCCTGGGGGTCATGGGCAACTGTGGACGGACATGTCCAGACAGTCCCGTCCTGTCTTATTTGCTGGAAGAGCCAGGGGATCCTGGATAACTAATGGACCACAAATTCCTGAGCACAGAGCCCCAAGACTATCTTAGCTCCACCTTCACCGCCCAGATTTTTCTTTTTAGTTTTTTGTTCACGGTGCTGAACATTGAACCTGGCGCTTTGCTACAGTCTTGGCAAATGCTCCACCAGTAAGCAACACTGCCCGTTTGTTTGTTTTTTTTTGCTTATTCATTTTGTAATTAAGCCTGAGTATAAATGATAGGGCTGGGGTGGTTTTCTGGAATTTTTCACATGCTTTTTCAAGCTGTGGTGCCCCGCCCCAGAAATTATTCCCATTGTTGCTTTGTAACTGCAAGTTTGCTGCTGATGTAAAGTGTAATGTAAGTGTGTTCTGGTGGTCTTGGGTGGCCCTTGTGAAAGGGTCGTCTTACCCATGTTGGGGTCACACTCCCCAGGGGTTGGGAAACCCTGACATAGGTACTGAAGGTGGGTCGACTCTGCCCCAAAGAGTCAACACAAAACGGTGATGAATTCTTGGCTTTTCCTTTTGCTAAAGGGGAAAAGGCCCTGTTGAGGGACAGGTTTTAAAAAGCAACCCGTGGCATGATTCTTAAAGCTCTAGCAGGGTGGCAAGTCTCCTCTAGCCTCGGGTAAAGACAGAGGGAGTGTTCTGTCTGTACACCCTCAGAACACGTAACTAAGTCAGGTTCACTGTTCTCTGCAGTCTGTGGCCTGGGACACAAAATGAGGACCTGAAACAGTCCAAGAAAGAGGCTGGTGGGCATGAAGGTGCAGACTGGTAATTTCAGGACAAGAGGCTGAGGGAGGATGGTCAGCACCAGACAAACCTGGGCTTCATCCTTCCAACTCCTTGTTACATCAAAACACAGAGAACTGAACCAAAGAGATGGCTCAGTGGTTAACACACTTGCTGCTCTTCCAGAGGACTGGGTTGGGCTCCCAGCACCTGTATCAGGTGGCTCATAACCACCTCTAGCTCTTGGGCATCTCTTGCCCCTTCTGGCCTTTGCCAGGCGTGCATACCTACATGCACAGAGATAAATAAAATCAATTGATTTAAAAACTGAGCAGGACAGTCTGAGAGAGAGATGGACGGGTGGACAGAGCATGAGCTTACCCTGCACTCAAGACTACCGACTCTCCCTAAGACCCCTCACTGTACTGGCTAGGTTACTGTGCATAACGACCTGCTGCAGCTCCTGCTAACCCTGTGGATGAGTACATCATATCTTCTGCTACTTGCTCTTGTTCATCACTGTGCATCAGTTCACTTGTTCTTTTTCTCTTTCTTGAGACGGGGTCTCATATAGCCTGGCTGCCCTCAATCTCAGTCTGTAATTGAGCCTCTAACCTTAGCTCCACAGGCAGTGCTGGGTTTACAGGCGTGCAGCACCTGCCGGGCTTCTGCAGTGCTGGGGGACGGTAACCAGCTCAGTAAGTTATCTACCTGCTGAGTCACATCCCAGCCACAGCTTTTTCTAGACTAGGAAGTTCCCTTTATCGCCGAGCTGCTCACAGGGTACTATACTTTGCAAATAAAGGAGCCTAATGGGTACCTGTCAATGCTGAGCAACAGGCAGTGCCCACTTATTCTCACTTGCATTTGAAGTCACATGACCCTGCAGCCAGCAAAATGTTGTTGGGGTGCCAGGCAAGGAGAGGACTGTGGAGGGAATTGGCTTAATGTGCTTGCTCACCCGCCTGAGGAAGGAGAAAACCTAGTTTACACTGTCCTCACAGACAAAAACAGCAGCATTTTCCAAGACGCCCCATAAACCCCCTCCAAATAAAACTGATCTATACGTTCATAAAAACCATTTTAATCCTGAAATCTATAGGCAATGTTAGCTACATTTACAGAGTTAAGTCGTGTACGCACCATCACTTTTAATGTTGGAAGACTGTCCTTTGACTTAGCTTGAGTATTTTCATGAGCTCCCTATAGTGCACAGCTGCTCCTGCTGAAGGCTGGCTTGCTCTCTGTCAGGGAAGAGCTTCCTACAAAGAGTTCAGGCTGGCCTCCGACTTGCTGTCAAGCTAGAATTACAGGCCTGTGCACCACATGGCCTGAGTGGCTGACGTACAGCTCATGTTCAGGGACTACATCTGCGACCACAGTAAGGTCCAGCCTACCTATGACCTCTCAGCGAACACATACAATCAACTACTCCAAGGCAGTCAGGAGGAAACACTTCCTACATGAATTAAGAAAAGTAGGGGGCTGGAAAAGGATGGAGATGAAGGGATGAAGGAGGAAGTGGAGGGAGAAAGAAAGGGAAGGGAGATTAGCATGGCTCACCAGTCGTTTTCAGACTCAAAGTAGCAGACTGAGGAGATGAGCCAGCCTCCACTCCCCACAGCAAACTTGTTTTCCAGTGGGGACTACTTCACAAAAGTGGCACAGTTGATACTGAGTGAGGGCAGGGGCGGTGGCAACCTTCCCAAAGCCATCAGCAGGTTCTGCTGTCCCCAGCAAGGGCAGGGGCAGTGGCAACCTCCCCAAAGTTGTCACTTCTCCAAAGCCCCTCCTCCTTGGCCCCCCAGGGGACCTGCAAGGTGGTTTTGCACCCCGGCTCTCCACTTCTCCAAAGCTCTTCCTTCTTAGCCACACAGAGACGTGCAAGGTGGCCTGGGGGCCTGGCTCTCCACTTCTCCTTAGCCCTTCCACGTTGGCCCCGCAGAAGGTGTGGGCGGTGGCCGTGCACCCTGGCTCTCCACTTCTCCAAAGCTCTTCCTCCTTGGCCCGCAGAGGGGGTGTGCAAGGTGGTCGTGTGCCCTGGCTCTCCACTTCTCTAAAGCCGTTCCTCCTTGGGTGCCCAAGGGACATGTGAGGTTGCTGTGGCCCCTGGCTCTCCTGGAGAACCCTGGGTCTGTGGCAGTGGCAGGACAGCATTTTTAGGTGGTTTCTCTTCCCTGTCAGGGTCTGTCCCCGGGGGCGCGCCTTGTACCCAGGCCTGCGCAGGCTTTGGGATCTGGTTGGGATTCCAGGCAGCTTGGTTCTCCAGGCCTGAAATAGGAGAATGTGAGCAGTGAGAGAACGGGCCCAGCCCAGGACTTCAATGTCAGTGTCAGGACCTGAGGTCTTGGTCGGGTTGTGGGGAGGGGAGTCGATCTATAAGAACTGTTCCCCTGGGTGCTTGGGGAGAGGGAGGCGGGAATGGGGACTGGGGCATTCTGGGAAGAAGAGGGGTTCCAGAGGCAGGAGGACAGGAACTGGGGCATTCTGGGAAGGACACTTCATGACAGCATCCGCGAGGAGACCCTGGCCACGTGGACCACAGGGCGTCAGAGAGGAACATCACTCACCCAACACGGCCCTCACCCAACACGGCCGTGCTCCCATAGTCATCCGTGCTCTCCTCACACGAGCCATCCTGGGGGTCCGAGGCCAGCTGCTGCCATTCTCCCCGGGGGGGGGGGGGGAGATCCAGCCTCGGCCTTGATTGGGGTGGCCTGGAGGGGCGCAAGACCTCAGTTAGTGCTCGCTGTCCCTGCTGAGAGCAAGGAGCTGGTGAGCCGAGTGACAGGGTAACAAAGCGTTCCATGTCACCTCGACTGGACTCAGGGACCCATGAAACGCGGCTTCGGGGCTAGCCTAAGCTAGCCAGCACCTCCCAGCAGTTTTGACTGGGCTGAATGGGCGGAAGGGAGACAAGGGAAGTGCCAGCGTCCACCTCCTCCTCACTACTAACCGGTAAACAAGGGGACGAGCTATACCTGAGCCGAGCCTTCCTGGCCCTGGACGGTGGCTCTTGTTCAACCCTGACACCTCAAAATATGCCCTTCCCTTTCGGAGCCCTTGACACGGCGGGGGGAAGACTCATTCGCCTGAGGTCTCGGGGTTTGGGGGGTCCTCACCTACGGGGAGGTCGGGTGCAGGGCGCGCGCCCAGGCCGCCGCCTCCTCCCCGCTCTCGGGGCGCCGGTGGCGCACGGGGTCCCGCAGCGGGCGCGGGAGGAGGCTGAGGAACTGCTCGAGGACCAGCAGCTCCAGCATCTGCTCCTTGGAGCGCCGCTTGGGCCGCAGCCAGGGGCGGCACAGCTCCCGCCGCCAGAAGCGCCTCCGGGAGGTGTCAGGGTCCCGCCAGACTCCGGGGTCCTTCTCTTCCTCCTCCGTTTCTGCATTCAACGCCAGCACCACCGAGCAGGCCGCCGCCATCGCAGCCTCCGGGGCCCGGGGCCCCGATGAGATGTCTAAATTTAGTGCTGAGGTGTGTTTCTTGTATGAAGAAGAAAGCTCCTTTTTTGTGTCTTTTTACAAGGGAGCTGAGGCCATTGATGTTAAGAGATATTAATGAGAAGTTTTTGCTACTCCCTGTTATTTTGATGTTGGTAGTGGTGATATGTGTGTGTGTTTGTGTGTGTGTCCGTGTTCCTTCCTTTGGTTTTGCTGATGTGGTGTTATATATTTCCTGTGTTTTCCTGGGTGTAGTTCTCTTCTTTGTGTTGGAGTTTTGTTTGTGGTACCTTCTGTACTGCTGGATTTATGGATAGGTACTTGGCCTTTTCCCCTAGCAGCTACCAAGAACCATGCATGGACTGGACCCAGATCCCTTAACCATATGTGGCCAGCACCACCGAGCAGGCCGCCGCCAACGCAGCCTCCCGGGCCCGGGGCCCCGATGAGATTCCCGGAAAGCGGGGCGCGCGGCCACCGTATCCCCCAAAACACCGCCACCACAGCTCACGACCCCGGCCAGGGCGCCAGCGGGAGAAAACAAACCAGGCCGGAAGTGCGTCATCAACCCAAGCCGACTCGGGACGGAGAGATAGAGAGGCGGCGCGCGTCTTGGGTCTCTTCATGGGCCCTGGAGGACTATGTAGCAGCTCCACCTCCCAGCGTTTATAATGCTGGAAACAGCGCGCAGGGGATTCTGGGATTTGTAGGCGACTCAGGGTCCACGGTCCAGGCAACGGACAGGGAAGGACGCAGGCTCGTAACTACGACCAGAATGCATCGCGCCCCCTTGACGCCATTTTTGTAGTTCTTACATACAATTCCAGAAGTCCTTGCTCCGAAGCCAAGTTTGTATTTCTCAGGCCGGTGGGTCTCAGAGGCGACGTAACTTGGACCGTTGGGACTTCCGTGACCAGCAAGAGCTCCGAAGTGAGAAACGAAGGGATAACGGTCTGTCTGTGACTAGAGGGTTTGCGTTAAATCCCCGTGGCGGGGTCCAGGGAGATGGTGGGGCGGCCTCGGTGCCTCCGAGCCCGGAAGTCTCTGCTCTCTGCGGGGCGGATCTGGAAGCGAAGCCCTAAGGGGCGGGACTTCCGCCAGAGACGCGCTGCTACCCGGAATGGTTTTCCCAGGTCCGTAATCTTTTTATCCCAAGCCGTTATGAATTCATAGTCCTGCTCACACGTGGGGTGGGGGCGGGGAGGAAGGGGATTAGGAGGGATTTTGGGGTTCCCCGCCTCCCTCCTCTGTCCACTCTTCGCCTTCCTTTCATCCGCCTGGAGTCCCCGAGCGGCTCGTGCGTGGGGCAGAACCGCAGGCAGGGGGATGGCGGGACGAGAAGACACACAGTCCTCTGCTCCCACTAGGCCTGCGTGCTTTCTGGGGGAGATGGGTGCACCCCGCCCGGGGTGAGGCTGTGCATGATCTTGTATTGGTTGTTCTGGCGCCCTCTGCTGTCCTGCGGGTGCAAGAGCAGGGAGGATCCTATAGATAATTTTTAGGGGGCTGGGGGTTGAGTAGGTAAGGTGCACTGGGCTTAGTTGTTAGGGTGCTGGGGACTCAGTACAGAAGGATCTGGCCACCTCTGCTGTTCTAAAGGCATATACATATGGGCAAAGAGAAAAAGTAAGGGATGGAGGAGGAAGAAGAGGAAAGGAAGGAAGGCAGGAAGGAAAAAAAAGAGAGAGAAAAGAAAAGGAAGAAATAAGGAAAGGAAAGGAAAGGCAAACTCTCAGCTAATTTAAACTTGGGTACTGTTTGCTGTTGATTTGCTGAATTTGAACCAACATACACAGGTAAATGTGAAGGTATTCTGTCGTCATATAAGTAACTGAAGTTATTCAACATGGTAAATAAAATATTTCAACCAGAAGGAAGGTGTAGAACATGGCAAACCAACACATTTTGGTTAGAGTCTGTATCAGCTAGGAATGACCTGATTAACTTTTTCAGAGGAAATGTCTCATATTCAAAGGCAAGAGCTATCCCTGGCTTAATGAACTTTCTCTAGTCACCTACACTCTCCCAGTACCCAGGGGATTTTACTTACATAAATTCTGGAGTGAAAGGTTTGATTGCTTACCTCCTGCTTTGCTATGTAAAAATCATGACCCATACCCAATTTATATAGAGATTAAACCAGAAGAAAATGATGTGGTGACCATTTCTGAGCCCATCTATTCTATAGGGAATGCAGTGTATGCAGTGTCCCATGCCTTGAAATGGGATCTAAAGAAGACAGAAACATGGACTGGCTTCTTCCATACCAGGTAAGCCTCACTCATAAGCAAGGGAAGCGTCAGGATCTTATATTATTGGTAAATAATTCACTATCCTCAAAACAATAAAACATTTTCATCCTATAGTTGAACCTACAAATTAAAATGTAAAAAGGTTCTGTCAAGGTAAGCCTCACTCAAAAGCAAGGGAAGCATCAGGATCTTATATTATTGGTAAGTAATTCACTATCTCCAAACCAATAAAACATTTTCATCTTATAGTTGAAAGTACAAATTAAAATGTAAGAAGGTTCTGTCGAAGTGTATGTTTATATATCTTACATGATTTGGGGACTGAAAGCACTCATTTGAAGATACTAAATTTGGATGTCTTTCAACAAATGTTTTCCTAGTGTGAAATGAAGTTCTGTAAGATACAATTGTACATAGTGTAAAAATATAGCAAGTTCAAGAACCAAAATTTTTAGGATTTCATGGAATATGTCCAATGCCATAAGATATAGACTAGGACCTCATATCCAAAGCAACTATTTCACTTAAAATACAATCTGTATTTATGACAAAAGATCATAAAAAGATCCTTTTTGTGGACAATAAATAGCCTGTCCTCGAGTCAGCAGTAACAGAAAAGTAATTGCTTTCACAGATGATTTAGTATTAATAAGGTAAGATGAATGTGAAACTAAAATTGTGGTCCCATTAATAAATTTTAGAACACAGACAGTACTCATGAGCCTGGGCCATAACTCAGCATGTTAGTGATGAGTGTAATGTGTGGGTTTTAAACCAACAAGATATAAACTGGGACTCATTTACACTTATGAGCCTTGGAGATCAACTTCAAGTAGGATATCAAGATGATTACTGAGCAAGTCAATTGAACTTTTCATTCAGTCGATAGGTAAATAAAAGATAAAATGTGAATGTTTGTATACTATATACTTTAGTATTATGGGAATCAGTAATATTTGACATTGATATTGAAATAGTCTGTAATTATGGCTTCCAGTCATGATGTATTAGATGAGTATGTCTCTTGTACAGATAACTGAGTACCGATATAGAAGTTCTTTATAACACAAGTTATTAATTAGTTAACACAATATTAGGTTGTGTTATTAATTTTCAGAAATTGATTTTTTTGTAATCAAGATAATACTGGTGTCTTCACAAAAATATAGACATGTTTCTTCTTTTTCCCTTTTGTGAAATACTTTGAGGAGTATTGCAGTGAGTTCTTTGAGACTCTTGTAGAATTCATGCTGAATCACTAGACCTATGCTTGCTTTCTTTTACATTTCTTTTAATTGAGAGATTTTTAAATTATCATTTCTATCTTGGTTGTTATGTGTCTATTTTAATAATTTACTTCTTGATTTAATGTTGTTAGATTTTATACATCTAGAAGTCTACCCATTTATTTTTTTTTACATCTAAATGCTTAGTTGAATGAAGACTTTTAAAATATGAACCTATGATTCTCTGCTTTCCTCAGTGCATGTTGTAGTGTCTGTTAGATCAGGACTGATACAGTTGACATGGACTTAAAAGAGAGCAGACAGACAGCCATTTCCAAAAGCAGGATTTTTCTCTCACTGATATGCTAGTCTTTTGAGGGTGGAAGTGGAAATTCTGAGCTGTAGTACTGGGGGCTGGAAGTCTTACGTGGCTTGATAGAGAGAAGGACATACTGTGGGGGTTCAGTGTTAAATTTCTGGCCTTAGTCCTCCCTTCTCTAGTCATGTGTGGGTTTATTTCTGTGTATTTGATTCAATTCCATTGACCCACAAGTCTGTTTCTCTGCCAGTACTATGCTGTTATTATTACTCTTCCTCTACAGTATAATTTTATATCAGGGATAGAGATAACTTCAGAAGTTCTTAATTGTACTGGGTTGTTTCAACTATTTTTTTTAATATGATGTTGAGAATTGTTCTTTCAAGGTCTGTAAGGAATTGCAGTAATCTCTGGATTTCTTTTGGTAGGATGACCATTTTTGCTGTTATTCTTACTGATTCATAAGCATGGAAAATCTCTCCATCTTCCGATATCTTCTTCAATTTCTTTGTTCAGAAACTTGAAGTTTTTTTTCATATAGATCTTTACGTTGCTTGATAAGAATTAAACCGACCTACTTTATGTTATTTCTGACTACTGGAAGGTTGTTGTTACCCCAATTTCTTTCTCAGCTCACTTGTCTTTTGTAAACAGGAAGATTTCAGATTTTTTTTGAGTTAATTTTATATCCAGCAATTTTGCTGAAGGTGCTTATCAGCTGTAGGTGTTCTCTGGTAGAATTTGTGGGTCCACTTCATATATACTATCATATCATCTTTGAATAGTGATACTTTGACTTCTTTCTTTCTGATTTGTATCCCCTTGATCTCCTTTAGTTGTCTTACTGCTCTAGCGTGGATATGGTGGATGATATCTTTAATGTGTTCTGGGATTTGGTTTGCAAGTCTTTTCTTGAGTATTTCTGCATCAATGTTTATAAGAGATATAGGTCTGAAGTTCTGTTTTTTGGTTGGGTCTTTGTGGGGTTTACGTATCAAGGTGACTGTGGCTTTCTAGAATGAGTTTCGTAATGTTCCTTCTGTATCTATTTTGTGGAATACTTTGAGGAGAATTGGAGTTAGCTCTTCTGCATCGATGTTCATAAGAGATAGAGGTCTGGTAGAACTCTGTGCTGAAACCATCTAGCTCCGGGCTTTCTTTTTTTTTTTTTTTTTTTTTTTTTGGAAGGGAGATTTTTTTATGACTGATTCTATTTTCTTGGGGAATAAATATTGAATCTATTTACCTGATCTTGATTTAATTTTGGTAGATGTAATCTATCAAGAAAATTGTCCATTTCATTTAGATTTTCAAATTTTATGGCATATAGGCTTTTGTAGTAAGACCTAATGATTGTTTGGATGTCCTCGGTTTCTGTTGTTATGTCCCTCTTTTCATTTCTGATTTTGCTGATTTGGATATTTTCTCTCTAACCTTTACTTAGTTTGCCTAAGGATTTGTCTGTCTTGTTGATTTTCTCCAAGAACCAGCTCCTAGTCTCATTGATTCTTCGAATTGTTTTCTTTGTTTCTAATGCATTCATCTCAGCTCTGAGTTTGAATATTTCCAATCATCTACTCCTCTGCTTCTTTTTTTACTAGGGCTTTTAGGTATGCCATTAAATTGCTTGTATGATGTGTCTTGAACTACTTTTGGAGGCACTTAGTGCTATGAACTTTCCTTTTAGCACTGCTTTCATTGTGTCCCACAAGTTTGGGTAATTTTCATTGAATTTTAGGAAGTCTCTAATTTCTTTTTCCATTTCTTTCCTGACAAAGCTGTCATTGAGTAGAGAGATGTTTAGTTTTCTTGTGTATGTAGGGTTTTTGTTATTTCTGTTGTTGCTGAAGTCTAGTTTTAGGCCATGTTGGTCTGATAGGATACAAGGGATTATTTTGATCTTGTATATTTTGAGGCTTGCTTTGTGCCTGATTATAATTTTTGAGAAGGTTCCATGAGGTGCTGAAAAGAAGGTATACTCTTTTGTGTTTGGGTCAAAAGTTCTGTAGACATCTATGTTATTGAAATAAATAACAATTACAGAGGTTATAAATAACCTAAATCTATTTTAGGACCTCTGTAATTGTTATTATTTCCCTATTTAGCTTCTGTCTAGATGATCTCTCCCTTAGTGAGAGTGGAATGTTGAAGTCTCTCACTATTAAGGTGTTGTGATCGATGTGTATTTTAAGCTTTAATCATGTTTCATTTACAAATGCAGGTGCTTTTGAATTTGGGGCATAGGTGTTCATGATTATGATGTCCTCCTGGTGGATTTTTCCTTTGATGAGAATGAATTGCCCTTTCTCATTTTTTTTTTTGATTAATTTTGGTTGAAAGTCTATTTTTATCAAGAGTATTGGCCTATGGTTTTCTTTTTGTGTGATTTTAACTTGTTTGCTTATGACAGCAATGCTAGATTTCTAGAAAGAGTTTCGAAGGGCTCCTTCTGTTCTTTTCCTTTTTTCTTCTCTTTTCATGCTAGATTAGGAAGGATTGTTGTAGCTCCTTTTTGAAGGTCTGGTAGAATTCTGGTGTGACTTCATCTTAAGCAGACACACCCAAGTGCAGTAGTCTACTTCAAATTCAGAGCTGAAATCTCATTCTATTAAGCCACAGTCACCTTCACACCTAAACACCACAAAGACCCAACAAAAAAGAGAACTTCAGATCTACCTCTCTTATGAACATTGATGCAAAAATACTCAATACTTGCAAACCAAATCCAAGAACACATCAAAGATATCATCCACTATGACCAAGTAGGCTTCATCCCTGCATACAGGGATGGTTCAATATATAGAAATCCATCAATGTAATCCAACATATAAACAGACTGGAGAAAAAAAACACATGATCTTCTTCTTAGATGCCGAAAAAGCATTTGACAGAATCTAACACCCATTCATGTTTAAAGTCTTGGAGAAATCAGGGATATAATGTGCATACCTAAACATAGTAAAGACAATATACAGCAAGTCTTTAGCCAACATCAAACTAAATGGAAACTTAAATCAATCCCACTAAACTCAGGGAAAAGGCATGGCTGCCAACTCTCTCAGTATCTCTTCAGCATAGTACTTGAAGTCTCAGCTGGAGCAGTAAGATAAGTAAAGGAGATCAAGAGACTACAAATCTGAAAGGAAGAAGTCAAAGTATCATTATTTGAAGATACTATTCATGAGTGACCACAAAAATTCAACCAGGGAACTCCTTCAGCTGCTAAACACCTTAAACAAAGTGGCTGGATACAAAATTAACTGAAAAAAAAATCAGTACTTTTCCTAGTATTTGAAACCTCTAAGACCTCTTTTTTATGAACCCGTCACTGAAGAATGACCTGCTATATTAGGGGATTGGGGTACTTAAATATTTCTAGGAATACCTTTGCTGTGTAAATCTCCCGTTTGTCTCAGTGGCTAGGCTGAAATTTCTAGTCCATATTAAAATTGTTTAACGTATAACATGTTGCC